AAGTATGAAACGTTATAGAAAACCATATGTAACAATGGAAGTAAATTATGTGCCTGTGTTGAAATTAATTTTAAATTAAAAAAATGAATGAAAAGGAAAAAAGAACAAATATTAGCGCTGCTATTTTGCACCATCGGTCCTCTAAGGCTGCTAACAGATTGACTGCATGTTTGCAGTTAATGGGTGAAGCCGTAATCAACCTTATACAGTCGAGGCCTCGGATAACGACTACACGCATTAACTGCATGCAGTCGAAACAGATTTCACGCAGCCGAGATAGACTGCATGCAGTTAATGCGTTGATAAGTTGATTACGACTTCACGCATTAACTGCAAATATGCAGCCAAGCAATTAGCAGCCTAATGGTCAACTCGCATTTATCAGCTATGTACTATCACAGATAAAAGCTTCATTTTCCGTTGTTATCCTAAAGGAACAACCACAACCTTTCATCCAAATAAGTCTTCAAAGCTATTTCAATCTTTTAATCCCCATAACCTTGCACCCTAATTACGTCCTACAACCCTTTTGAATCCCCTTTATTGTCGTTATATACTTACTAAGACAAAGAGTTATGTAGTCAATTGAATATAAAGTTAATTTAAAAAAAAATCAAATACAGAACAACACACTTCACACATAACAAGATTCTTCCATCGCAGTACCTCTGCAAGAGTCTCACCTTAAATCCTCTTTTACCTTAGCATCCTAGTTGCTTCCCACAACCTTTACCGTTGAATCCCACTATTGCAAATATAGAACAACACCTATCACACTAGACACTCCATACCTTGCAGCTGTCGATTTAGCAACGCAGTGATCCCAGGTCCATCACCTGCTTTTTTCACCACCAACATTGGTTTGTCTTCCCCTTCTTCGTAATTATTTGGCAGGTGCCCGTTGCTGACAGCCATAGTTTCCGACACCTGGAACATTTTGGAATTACATGATTAGGAAGACTTTGCTGATTAATTATTAAACACCTGTATTTAAAACAGCTTAGCAAAACAACACAGCTCACGTCATATTGAGCAATGTTAAAAGAGAGTGAAAAACTGCATTTATTATAGATTTTTTTAAGCTATTATTAGTAATAAGTGCCCTATTTATGGATAACAAACAATTCGCACATGAATTCGTTATCGAACACTGTCGTATCTCAAAATTGTGAATTGAGAAAACACAGTTTGAAAATAAAAAATTATACTGAATGGATCTTATTGCGAATAATGTGATATTTTTATTTATACATAATACTTAATTATCCATTTATAAACGCGAATATGTACAGTGTTTTTTAATGGGACAATATGGGGAAATCCGAAACCGTATAAGATACTGGTATGGTTTCCTGGGAAACTGTCTTAGGAACCATTAAGTCTTTATTTGTGAAAACAATTTTGGCATAGTCAATTTTTTGATCAAGCGTCAGCATAAATGAATAAAATTGATCAAAATTTTATTTGGTGCTGATCGACTCAGTTCTAAGTAAGGATCATATCATTGTATGGGACGAAAAAAATCGAGACAGCAGAAGTTGTCAAATTTTATAAAATATTTTTCATACAAAACGTATAAAATAGACAATTTTTTTTAAATATGCTGATAGACTCAGCTTCTTATGAGGATGATTTCATTGTATGGGACGAAGAACATCGGGACAGCAGAAGTTGGTCAAATTTAATAATAAATAAACAAGAAGAAAAAGGCATACCTGCATTAACTTATGAACTACATCGCGACCTAGTATATGGTCGAAGACTGCCTGTAGAAACGCATCAGACATAATAGAGAGCTTCAACTTGTCTCGATGCCACACCAGAACGCGGGACTCCTCCATCGCCATTATTGACACCTGGAACATTGTGAGAAGTCTTTGAGTACGAGACACAATCTGTAAAAAAACTCTTTGTTGAAAAATTGTAACTGAAAGAAGGATGGCGAAAGCTGCCCCAATAACGACGAAGAGCCGTTCATGGACTTTGCTAGTATAATTTTGCGTTTTAGTTTATGCCTAGTTATAAATATATTTTTATATATTTTTACAAGTCGGGGAAAAAATATTGTTAAACATTATATTTTAGAATAGATGCAAGAACACAACGCAATTGATTCAGTTCGATCTTAAACTACGTAAAATTCTTGTACGTACGTTTCGTTTTAAGGATGATTGAATGTTTACATACCTGAAGTATTGGTTATTTTGTAGTACACACATAAAACATTAAAGCTATAAAATACCTATTCAAGTTTATTTTTCAAATGAGGTAGCTAGCACCCACTGGACAGCATCAACTCCCCCAATTGCTTCCGAGGCCCCTACCGCCTTAAGACTTTAGCGCCCACTGGGGTGCGGTAAGAACCACTTTGGAAAACTATGCTTTAAAGCATCATCTCTTAGTACAATGTTGAACTATGTACTTCAGACTACACTACATTGTCAAAATATAACTGTAGCCCCCCAGTCTCAAGCAGAGTATGTAGGGAATCTCGACGAGGTCGTTAAATCAAAGACGATTTATCGTTTACTGTAATATATTGGCAATAGGTAGTTTACGGAAGTAGTGCCGGTAATCGGTAAAACGGTTGTCTTTTGGAAGAACAAATAAAAAGTGGAAGGTTAGTTTGCACAAAAAGAATCGTTACGTATGTGGTAGGGACAATATCTAGTGGTGCAAAGTAGAACACCCCGCAAACATGATAAGCGTTTTGTTATGCTTCGAGCAATAGTTAAATTACAAAAACTGTGGCGTTCCCAACAATAACTATATTATGACAGCCTGTATGCTGTTCTCATCCAAAAGGTCACATCAACTTCGATATTTCACCTACATACCAGGATTATAATGAAACTCATACGGTCATCTAAATACAAATACTTTTCCCCGTTATAAACATTTTGTTTACCGAAAACTGTTTTGTAATGTTTGTATGGGCGAGAAGACCCATGTTTACCTTGGAATTAAACTTTATAAAACCCACACGTATGCTAATAACAGTAATAGAGGTGAAGTTTCAAAAGTAATATTCTAAAACTTTCAAATAACTTTGCGAACATACAGAAATGAATGCCTTTCGATAAGTTGGCCCCCTGCTTCGAGTCGGAGCATCTAAATCAGCTCCTTATCTAAACTTCCTTGCAAGCTCGGTAACTAGATTCATAGCAACCTCGGGACGCTATCTTGAATCGTTGACACACATAGGCTGCATTACAGTTTATAATTGCGTTTTTTCTGAATGGGACAGTATGGGGAAGTCCGAAACCATAGAAAATACAAGGAAACTGTCTTAGAGACCATTAAGTCTTTTTTTTGTGAAAACAATTTTGACATAATCAATTTTTTGGTCAAGCGTGAGTTGTCCATAAAAATGAATGAAATTGATCAAATTTTTTTAGTGCTGCTGGACTCAGTTTCATAAAGGGATCATTTCATTGAATGAGACGAAAAAATCGGGACAGCAGAAGTTGGTCAAATTTCATAAATTTTTTTTCACACAAAGTGATTTTTTTTTAATGTTAATAGACTGAGATTCTTATAAGAATGATTTCATTGTATCGAAAGAAAAGAATTGGGACAGCAGAAGTTTATTACCATCGTTTGAGTACAATAATATTTCGGACTGTGTACATGAAATACACAAGAATTTACCGCTGCTCTTTACTTGCTACTGTTAGTATAATTTTGTCAGTAAGCAATTATGTAAATTATTAGTACGTAGGCTGAATACAAGTTAATGTCAAAGCTGAACGTATTTTTTATACTCTGTGACGTTTCCCGTTTCCCTGCTCTCTCTGGCCACCCTTGTCAAAACGTATAGCTTTGCATAATTAATTATATGTATAGCTCACACGGAATGAATGATGAGTCATGGCGGGATGTCGTTTCCCTAGCCAAGCAGAGTTTCTTATTTTCCCTTTTTATCACATTAGCGCGCACAAAATTTTACAATCGATTTTTTTTCCACAGACCACAGATACAAATTCAAAATTTGAGCTTCGTCAGTACGTGTAGAATTGTAACTTTTTCCGTTCGTAGATTGTGCATTTGTGCGGATGCCAAGAAAGCTTCGCTCGCTACGCTTCGATTAATAAATCAAAGTGTTATTCAAGGAAATTTGAATTCTTTTATCACTTTCATAAGAAACAGGACTATTTTAGATCAAGAGCGAAACCTATTGCTGGTAGGTTAATTACACTTAAAGAAAAACATTTTAATATGACAAAATATAGCACAAGTTCTCTAGAGATCTGATCAAAATGAATAATTTTTTTTACCATACCAATTGACGGGACGAACAAGTCGTGCGCCTGGTGGAAAGCGACACGCTTGTCCGTAACAGTTGCAGTGCCATTCAGAGCTTTAATTCGCAAAGATCTGAGGGACACTGCCACCGCACCCGTCACTCTGAGACAAGTGACAAGCGCTATGTGTCTTTAATGTCACCAAGTACCCTTACCCTTCAAAACCGGAACGCAGTAATGCGCACATTATTGACGGCAAAAATATAATCAACTTGGCTGCTGGCCGTTTATACAAGGTTCACGTTTTAAGGCTGTCTTTCTACAGTTATATGAATAGTTATAATGTCGCCTTTGTACACTAATATTTTCAATTGCTGTTAACATACATAATTTTGTTTTGTGTTACAATACAGTGTTTACATACATAATCAATTATTTAATATCATCAATAACACAACATTACATTTAAAATACAATGTCAACACATAACATGATCATTGCTGATATAAATAATAATAATGGGTTGTTCAAAAAGTCGATGCGGTTTTTGCCTTTTTTAAAATAATATTTTAGCGCGACTTTCAAGAATAGGCGGGAAAGTATATTGCCTATGGTAATTTTAAAAACAAAATTTTAGCGCGCATTTCAAGAATAGGCGGAAAAGTTTATTGTTTATGGTTATTTTAAAAATAAAATTTTAGCGCGCATTTCAAGAGTTTGTTTTTAAATAGGTAGGTACCTATCTATATAACATTCATGAAAACGCCCCGAACTAGTGAATCCTAAAGGTGTTGTATTGCATCATGATAATGCCCAACCTCACATATCTTTACAAAGCCGTCAAAAATTATTGCATTGTATTGTTAGCTTGGAATGTGTTACCTCATCCCGTGTCATTCGTCCGATACAGCCACAACAGAGTTTTTCACTTGTTTCGGTCTTTACAAAACTGTTTAAATGGACACGATGTTAATGAAGAGATCATTAAACGACAAGAGCTGTATTTTCTAAGTAAAGGCAGGATTTTTTATGAAAGGGAAATTCTAAAATTACCCAAAAGACGGCAAAATATTGTAGATCAACATGTAACCATACATAATTTATCAAATTTTCAATTATACTTTGATACTGCGCGGACTTTTTAGCCAACCCCATAGTTAACATAAAAACAAATAAGTATAACAAAAAAATAAATACATACAAGGACGTCAAATGAAAATAAAATAACAATTTAAAATTTTTATTGAATTTTTCGGATCCGGCCGGATTCGAACCGACGTCTTCTAGCTTACCGTGGCTTAGTTGGTATAGCATCTGACACGGTAAGCTAGAAAACGTCGGATCGAAGGAATTTTTGAGTGTTCGATCTTTGTATTAATAAATATAAATAACAATTTATTCGAAAGAAATACCTGTACATTTAATTATATATTGACGGAGTTTCAGTCGCGTATTGGCAAACCGTTTCGTCGTTTGTGATTCTTTTTAGATTAGGTGGATGTCCGTAGAAAAAAATCTCATTACTTCTTCTTACTGTACTCATAACCTAAAAAAGTGTGTGCGTTATTATTTCTTTAACGTTATTTAAGCATATATATATCGCATTTCCTCGCACAAAGAGAGGCGATTAAATTTTTTTTTTAATATATTCAGCTGGAACGAGAGTGAAAGCGGTTTTAACCGGCTACACGCAGATCGCTTTACGATCGCTTATCACATATGGTTTAATTACTATTCTGTGTTTCGTAACAATATTTACATTTCATTCAATGTTCTTGGTCATATTTATATGTCTGAAAGACATGAAAGTAATTATCATAACAATACAATACAATATTTGTTTTGAACTGCGACAGCAAAAGGAAACATGTAACTAAATGATAGAGAGTTCTTAGTTATTCGCGATTGTTAAACATTGTATTTGAAGCAATTTTTTTTTAATCTAGTTCGCGTATATTTGTTTTATAAAACAAACCAAACTTTCGAGCTGTTTATGGGCGAGGCCTAAACGTTTAGTTGTTGAATAACCAAGTATGTGCGATCCGCAAAAATTGTCTCATTTCCACTCTAACGACACGTTGTACTTGAAACTAAAAGTAAACTAAAAAACTAATTCTCCAAATTCAGAAAAGCGCCTCGTTTAGACTTTACATTACAATAGCTAAAGAGTCTATACAACCTCAAATGGCTTTGGTAGATTCCGCATAACAGTGAAAGTGTGAAATCAATGACTTTGGAAAAAATATACAGTAAAATTGAAGATATACAGGGTTACAGGAAAAGTCGTGCTAGATCCGTTAATGGCGTGGAGTACTCATCATTTCTGACTTATTTTACTATGAAACACCCTACCCTAAACTTAACCCTTTTCGAGATATTTGACTTTTATTTTTTTTATTCAAAATTGCCGATTTTTAGGCTACTAAATTTAATTGTTTATTTTGTGTGTCTTATTATTATAATTATTGCATTTTTACATGTGTGATAAGATGCTTTAGGACCTCAATCATTAAAATAGTGAATAAGTTAATTCAATACGCCGTAGTAGAAAAGAGAAAGTTAAAAAATTAAAAAAAAAATTAGAAAGTTTATTTTTCTCTAAGGGATATCTA